ATATGCATATACATATATACAGTGAAACAGGGCAGCCTGTTTTCTCTCGCTTGTTTTCTTTGCATGCCGTCCCAATGTTTTGTGGCTTTTGTGAAGCCAATGTACTTTTTATGGAGATAAGAGCGAGATGAAATGAACGCTGAATAAATGGTAGACTTTGGGTGGGGAGGTGGACTGACGTGGACAAGGAAGGAAAAAAAAACAAGAAAAAAAAAAAAACCCCGAATGTGCCATTTGTTTTTGTTGTTGTTGAGACCAGCACTTCCGGGGTGTGTGTTTTTTGTTTTTTTTCTTCTCGTTTTTTTTTTCTTCCTTTTAAATCCTTTTTTTTGTTCAACAAAAAGTGCTGTTTTTTTTTTTTTTTTACTGTAAAAAAAATTTTTTTTTTTTATTTTGTCAGTACGTTCCCATTCTTCCCTCCCCTTTTTTTTAAAAGAAAAACAGACACGCATTTGCATGACATCGCAGGGACATGGACTACGTTGCCTTCACCACAACGACTTTTACTGCTACTGCTACCACTACCGTTTTTTTTGTTTTTTTTTTCTTTGCTTCACCCCCCACCCCTTTCCTCCATTCAGTCTTCATTACGGCGTTCTCCATTCCGCATGTGCATTTATGTGTGCGGTGGGGGTCCAGTGAGACGAGGCGGGGGAAGGGGGAAGGGGAGGGAGGGAGGGCATTGCGTTTTCTTTTTTTTTTTTTTTTTTTGCTTTTGTTTTCTGACAATTTTTTTTTATTTTTATTTTTCCCCGTTGACAGGTGGGCAGACTGCCGCTGCCGCTTTTTTTTTTCTTTTTTTTTTTTTTGGGAGGGGAGGAGCGAGGGGATAAACGAAAAAAATGGAAAAAAAAAGAGCAAAGTGAAAAGGAGTCCACCGTGACCACTAAAAAAAGGAAAAAAGGAGAGGAAAACAAACAAAAAAATAAATAAATAAAATAAAAGGATGAATAGACAAGAGAAGGAGGTGGAAGACAACACTTTAAAAAAAAAAATTTTTCTCTCCTTTTTTAATTTTAATTGTTTTCTCCCATGCCTTTAATTTCTTTGTTTCCTCCGTACGTGTTGGATGGAAGGGGAGAAGCAGCAGGCGTGGCTCAGCAGTGCGTGTGGTGGGGGTACCATTCCCCTCTCTCTCTCTCTCTCCTTTTTTCTTTCTCTCTCTCTCTCTCTGTGTGTGTGTGTGTATGTCGCTTTGCCCTTTGGAGTGAGCTGCCATGCTGTGCTTTTTTTTTTTTTCTTTTTTCCTCCCTTCTTTTTTTTTTGGCTCTTGTCACCTCACACACTCCGCCTTTTTGCGCGGTCAGTTGTAGTTTTGCCAAAATCCGCAATAGCGAGTGAGGTGGAAAAGAAAAAAAAAAGCAGGATTTCTTTTTTTTTTTTGCCTGACATTATTATTTTATTTTATTTTATTTTTTGGGCCGGAGAGATAGATCTATACTTTAGGGTCTTCCACTAGGCGACAGTCCTGTGCGTGAGAGTGACTGTGCGAGGGGAGTGAAGGGAGGGCTAAGAAGCGTGGCCAAAGTTGTTTTTTTTTTTTTTTTTTTTTTTTGTAGGGGGAGAAACAACAACAACAACGAGGAGGAGGAAATAGAGAGGGCAAAGAAGAAGAAGAAGAAGAAGAAGAAAAGAAAAGGAGCGAAACAAAAAAACTTTTTATAAAGTTGTAGGAGAAAATGAACGGCCCCTTGACGACAGCTGAGGTTTTCCAGTTGAATTCTGTCGCGGGTGGTCTGCGGCCCGGGACAATCTCCTTCAAGACATTGACATTGGAGAGCGACAAGTATGTCTGCCTCCGCGATATGCAGCCGGATGGGCAGACGTCACTTGTCATTGTGGACTTGGAGAAACGTGAGAGTATGCGGAACAACATTCGTGATGCGGAGTCGGCTATAATGAACCCCAAATCAAAGATCCTTGCGCTTCGCAGTGGTCGTAATTTGCAAGTCTTTGACGTGGTTGCCGCGAAGAGGCTCAAGGTGGTTTTGTTTTCCGAGGATGTGGTTTTTTGGCGCTGGGTCGATGATCGAACAATTGGGTTGGTGTCCGGCACTGCGGTGTACCACTGGAGCCTGGACTCTGCGGAGGATGCCGCGCCGGAGCGTGTCTTTGAGCGCGCCCCGGACATGGCGCATCGGTACAGATACTGAACTACTGCACTGACGAGAAGAAGAAGTGGTTGTTGTTGTCGGGTGTGGCGCGAG